GAAGGAAGGAAGGAAGGAAGGAAGGAAGGAAGGAAGGAAGGAAGGAAGAAAGGAAGGAAAGAAACCAGCGGATAAAAATTTCTGGGTTTGTGGCATGGGCTTCAGAAACAGGCACAAACAGAAGGCAGGCTGGAAGGCAAGGGAAAGGGATTCAAACTGATCTGACCTTTGGTCCTAAAAAGTCTTCAATATCAATTGTGAACAGAATAGGCTGGACAGGCCAGGCATTCCCTAAACCTCCCATGGCCTCAGGTTCCATTGGGGGCCAAGAAGCTGGGGATGGAGCAGGGCAGGGAGCCAAAGCAGCTAGGGACTTGGGTAAGTTCTGCAAAGGCTGTCATCTATCCATGGGGCTCTGTGGCATCTGGTTTTTCATATCTTAAATTGCATCAACATGATGGATGGTCTAGGGTCCCAGATTACATTATGGGGTTAATTTATGACATTTTTGAATACCCATTTGCTGTGAGACTGCTTTTCAAAGTTATTTGCATATTTCTCACAGTAATGACAATAGGTAGGAGGTCAGGAAGAGGAAAGGATGGATGTTAGGAGAGCTTATCTGCCAACCGCAGCAGGTCCTTCAGGGTCTGCAATAGGGACAGAGGGAAAATCACCCCCAAGAGATGTTTACCTAGAAACTGAGAAGGCTCTCTGTAATAAAGTGTGAGCACAGCCCAGAGGGGGCTAAGGTTTGCACAAGCAGACAAGGGTTCCTGGCGAGTACCACAGATGCTTCCAAAGCCCCCTTCCATACCCACCAGGCTGATCACAGGAGGTACCATCTATGTCACCCTGCTTAAGGTTCTCAGGACACCGAACACAGAACACACGAGGGAGAGCACAGCCTGCAGACAAATCTCACTGACACCCCGAGACCAAAGCCAGATTCTCAGTGAGCATGTGTTGAATTAGTGAAGGAAAGCATGATGGAGAAATAGAATGATGGTGAACAGTTGGCTCGTTGCCACTTGCCTGACTCGATCCCTGAGCACGACTGGCTTATGAGCAAAGTCTCTGATTTCAGTGCTTGGGCTATGTAGGTGAATGTGTTCAGAGAAGAGCTATTTTCAAAAACAAAGCAAGGGCCGTGGAACGCTGCCACCCGTGCCCCTATACCCAGTGCCTCCCACCCATTAGGCCTGCTCTGTGTGTACCCTGCTGCTTCTTTCCCCAGCACTGCTCCTTGTCATCTTGAGGCCCTTTTCTCTCTGAACCTGTTTGCTCATCTGTAAAACAGCATAACCGAAGGTCCAATATTGCAGGGTGCAGTAAAAAATAAATGAGGCTTGTAAGAATATAAACTGCATAGCAGGGCAGGTGGCATAATGGTTTAGGCGCTGGATCCCACATGGCCGACTCCATGATCTGAATCCCAGACCTGATGGCCTGAAAATCATGCCACGTGCATGTGTGTGCATGCCCAAAATCATGAAAGGAGTGGCCCTCCCCCTTAGGGGGGCAGTTATTTCTCGCTTTCTCTCTCCCTCTCTCTCCCAGGTGAGCACTCATGCCCTATAGTAAAAAATCTGAAAAAAAGAAAAAACTATATAAACTGCACAATGCCTGGCACATATGATGGCCATATGACAATGATAATAAGATATTCTGGACAGGTCATCATGGTTTTGCTTTGTTTTGTTTGTTTGTTTGCTCGTTTGTTTGGTTTTTGTTTGTTTGTTGGTTTGTCTTAATTTGGTAGAGGGTATGTGCACTCACCACAGAGAGACAGAGAAAGTACCCTTTGCCATGGGGATGACCATGATGCAAGCCCTTCTCCTTTCAGGATTTTGGCCACACACACATGCACCCTGTGTGTTTTTCAAGCCACTGGGTCCAAGACTTGGACCACACCACTGGCTGGCCCTCCATCATGCTTTTCAAAACCTCAGGGGGAGGGGGAAATGACCAGCAGATGGCATAATGGCTATGTCGCTGGACTCCTACGTAGTCCACCACGGTTCGAGTCCCTGACCCTCTGGCTTAATTTCTCACTTTCTGTCTCTCTGTCTCTGTCTTTTTGGGGAGCACACATGCCCTAAAGCAAAAACCTCTCCAAAAAACAAAAACCTCACCAGGGGGCCTGCAGGTGGCGTGGTGACTAGAGGAGCTGGATTCCCACATAGCCAACTGCAGTTCAGGTCCTGGACCTGGCAGCTTGCTTTCTCACTTTCCTTTTCTCTCTCTGCTCAAATTTTAAAATAATTATAACAAATGGAATTAAATAAATAAATAATTTTTCAGAAACAAAAAAAACTCACCGAAACCATTCTCTCTCTCTCTCTTTAGATTTTTTTTTGCCATAGGGCATGGGCACTCACAGGGGACAGAGAAAGAGAGGGAAAGTGAGACATAACCCTCCAGTGGGGAAGGTCACACCATAGTTGTTTCTTCTCCAGTCTCCTCTTGGGATTTTGGGCACACATGCACATGCACATGCACCTGGTATAATTTGCAGGCCACTGCTGAAACCAGGACTTAAGTAGTACAGCTGGCCATGAGGGACCCAGCACCTTAACCCTCACCCACTTGGTAGCCCCTACCCAAACTATTCTCTTTTTTTTTGGAGAGGTTTTTGCTATAGGGCATGTGCACTCGCCAGAAAGACAGAGAGAGACAGAGAGACAGAAAGCGAGTAATCCCCTCCCAGGGAATGGCCACACCACAATCCCTTCTCCTCCATTCTCCTCTTGGAATCTTGGGCACGCACGCACACGTGCCCAGCATGAGTTTAAGCCACCGGATCTGGGACACGAACCATGGTCGACTACATGGGTGTCCAGTGACATAGCCATTACGCTAACTGCTGGTCCCCCCCCAAACTATTCTTAACTACAGTCTCCTTCCCCCACTTCTCTTTCTCGAACAAGCCAGGTGACTCTGAAGTCACCCTAGGAAGGACATGCATTCTAATGGCAAGAAGTGCCTGAAGGGGCTGCAGCAGACCAGACAGCTTCTCTCCTCCCCTGGCTGGTATGCACAGCTGCCCCAGATCCTAGGGCCCACTGCTGACCTTAGACCCAAGCCAGAGCCCTGACCTCAGAGCAGAAACACTGGGTGGCTTCCAGTGCTTCAGTCAGAGCAAAGATCACACATGTCATTACCTCTGTGGGGTCCTCCTGGCCTTCCAGTGTTGCCAGTCCCTCATTGTTCAGGGAGACCTTATAGATCATCTATTCTTTTTTTTTTAAATATATAATTATTTATTTTATTTATTTATTCATTTATTTTCATTTGACCAGAGAGAGACAGAGAAAGAGAAAGATTGAGAAAGCAAGCTGCCAGGTCCGGGACTCGAACCGTGGGCAGCCATGTGGGAGTGTCCAGCACCTTAACCACCACGCCACCTGCTGGTCCCAAGATCATCTATTCTTAAACTTTGTCCTCTCCCCAAAGAGAAGCAGAGATGATTTGCAGGCTCCATGATCCTATCCCAACTCCCTCTCTGACCTCATCTGGCTCAGTTCTTTCTTCAAACACACAGAGCATGCATGCTCCTGCCTCAGAGCGTTTGCACTGGCTCTTCCGCCTGAAACCCACTTTTACT